CACAGATATATATATATATATATATATATATATATATGAGAGGGGGGTGGGGTAAACACGCAAGAAGAAAAAAGAAACAGGAAGAAAAAAAAAACAAAAGAAAACACAATCACATGCAAGGGCGTTCAGAAACATCATTCCAATTGTCCCACTGCAGGAGCAGAGCAAAAACAAACAAACAAAAAAAGAAGCAACAGATAAGAGACGCGGATGTAGGGGCAACGAAGTAGAGAGAGTCGGTGGCAGACGGCACCCATTCGCTGCTTCCTTGCGCCTCAGCCAATATGATGCTCTCTCGGGGGAAGGCAAGCGCAGGTGCGCACGCAAGCACCCACATCAAATGGCATGCGTAGGCAATCAAAGAGAAAAGCAAGCACCAAGCAGACGGAAAAAAAAAAACGAGCTGGACGGGGCAAACTGTAAGGATACTGGCACCCACGGGAGCCAAGAACAAAACACCCCTTGGAACCAAGTATAGAAACCAGAGAACGGCATGCAGGCGTCCTTCCTTTTATTTGCAGTGAATGGCTTCGCTGGGTTTATTTCCAGTTCATCTATCCTTCTCCTAGATCTCTCCCTTCCGCTGTGTGTCTGCATGTGTATACGGATTTGTGACTGCGAGTTCACTGCAATATATATATATATATATATATATATATATATTACGTGTATGGCTGGAGCGGTGTGTGAGTGCTGCTTTCAATCTTCCTTTTACACGCGCCTCTCTCCTCCCCCACTTCGATGAGGCGGCGGAAACCCCCGCACACGACCTACGCCCACGCAAAGAGACAACCCAACACAGTCACAAAAAAGAGTACTCATAGGGGGAAAAAACACAACATTTCCTGTCGTCTTATTCAACCAATTTGGTTTCATCTGTTTTTCCCGTCTGCGTTTCCCTTCCCTTTCTCAGCCCCGCGTGGGGACAACGGAAGCGGCATGGAAAGAGTAGAAAAAGCGCGCTGGCAAAACACTTAAGCAAAATGTATGGAGCGGGAACCTGGACACTGTTCGTCTTCCTTACAGCTGTGTCTGTTTTTTTTTGTGGGGGCTTTTCCTTCTCCATATTGGCCCCACAGCTCCTCTTATCAATTTCCTTCTTCTCCTTGCGCCGGCGCCCAACACGACGGAGTGTGTAGCGCCAGAAGCTCGCCCGCCCAGCGGCAACAGGGGCCAGCATCTACTGCCTGTCCACTCCCGCCAGTGGCATGTGGTGGGCCCACCCCTGTGGCCCCTCTCTGCACGCTTTTCTGTTCCGTATATCACTTATCCTTTTTTTTTCTTTTTTGCTCTTTGACTTTTTTTTTTTTTTTT